GCGGCTCTGGGTGTGTTTTTTGGGGTGAATTCCTGGTTTCCTACCCTTTTCTGCATGCAGTCCTCGGCCACGGAGTCGCAGCACTGGGCGAACACCTCGGCGGCGCCTTCTGCCAGGGGGAGCAGGTCCTCGAAGGCCGCGGCCGGCGTCTTCTGGGCCAGCGCCGTCAGGTAACTGGGGCAAACCGGGGGGTCAGGGGGCTCCACTGCCCCCTTCCCCAGGGCCACAGGGGATTTTGGCCCAGAGAGAGAGAATGAGGAGTCGCAGGGGTGGCTTTGTGCCTCCACACGCTATGGCAAGCTCATTTGAATGGAGCACCCACAGCCTGAGGTGGCTCTCCCAGCGCTGAGGGGAAGAAAAGGCCATTTCCCCCTTACCTGAAGGTAAACTTGTCCTTCCCGTAGGCCGTGAAGCGGCTGCACGCCCGGTTGGCCACCAGGGTGAGGAGGGAGAGGGTTTTCCTCTCCAGTTTCTGTGGCGAAACAAGATGGTGGTGTCCTCAGCCGCCTCCCCCTGAGGGAGGGCGGGGACCAAGATGGCGGCAGCGGGGCCCTCACCTCCCTCAGGAAGCAGGCGGTGGGCGCGGGGGAGATGCAGCAGCTGGAGACCATGGACAGGAAGGTCCTGGCGGAGCCCAGCAGCAGGGGCAGGGGCGCTTGGCTGTAGCTGCTGGCGTACTCGTGCAGGAACCTGCGGAGGAGGCGGCGTGGGGACACCCGGCGCTGAGGGAACGGGTGTTCCAGTGCAGGGGGTGAGGAATTCGGGGGGTGTTTGAGCTGTGCCCTGGTTTTACTGGGACAGAGGGGTTTTTCTTCCCCTACAGCAGCTGGTGAGACTTAGTTCTGGGTTGGTGCTATGAGGGATGTTGGTCACGGGAGATTACCTCAAGGTTACCTCAAGGTTTGTTCTTCATTATTTCACCTGTGCCTATGGTTGTACTTCTTGCCTGGGTTTTATTTTTCCTCCTCTTTTTACAGGAGGATGGAGGGAGTGAAAGCCTGGGAGTTTTTGGGACAGGTGACCCAGGAGAGGTGATCCAGATGTGATCCAAATGGATCAATAAAAATGTAGCCTACCCCACAAACGCCACACTTGTTAGAAAACGGGGAGTTTGCAGGGGACGACCCCTTCAATCCCTTCTCTTTCCTTCCCTTCTCCCTCGTGATGGTGCCCATATCCATTCCTGAGGCTTTAATAAATAAATAAGCAAATAGCCTCTACCTCAACTAATGAGTTCTTCTACTTTTCCTCTGCCAGTTCCCTCCCTGACCCCACACCAGGAAGGGGAAGCAGCAAGCGAGCAGCTCCATGCCAGGATGTGACCCCTCCACAGCCACTCGCACCCCTCATCCCCCAGTAAAATCCAGCCCTTACCGATCGGCGAAGTCCTTGGGGTCGCTCCGGAAGGCCTGGCACAGCTCCTGGTCCGAGGGCTGGAGGTATTTGGGCAGCTCCTGGGGCGGGTGGTGCAGGGCGGCCAGGCACAGCTTGCGCTCCAGCCCCTCGTGGGTGCAGCACTCGGCCGTCCCGGGGTGGACCGGGAAGGGCGAGCGGCCGCTGCACGACTTGGCCGACAGCGCCGAGGACTGCGGGCGGGAGAGGGGAGGTTACGTGCTGGGGATGTCCCCCCCGTCCCCTCCCCGGCCGTGGTTTTGCAGCCCATGGCCCTGTTTTGGTTGGCCTCACCCCATCGTCGTAGCAGGAGGGGTCGGCGCCGTCGGCGCAGCAGGTTTCGGCCAGGGAGACGATTTCGCGGACCAGGTGGCCGATCTCCTCGAAGGTGGCGTTGGAGAACTTCCTGCTGTTGGCAATGATGGTCCTGGGGAGCGACAGAGCCCAATTATTCAGGTGCCAAATTGGCTTTGAGGAGCCCAACCCCTGAGCAAGCTTTTGTCCTGTCCTCGTTTGCAGGTAGGGAATTAATCTTCCCCTTTCGAAGATGATTTGATATTTAAATTACCCTGTGCTTAAGGTAGACTTGATGTAATGCTGTAATAATGTGCATTTAATGTACTAAGGTACCGGGAGTCCTGGAGGTACCTACAGGGTTCGGAAATCCTCCTTCCCCAGCGCCTTGAACTCCTGGCACACTTTGTCCCGTTCATAAGGTCTACCTGGAAAAGCAGGGAGAAAAAGGAGGGTTTGGGAGCTGCAGCTGGGAACCTGGGTGTCCCCACGCCCCAGGAAGGCACCAAACGTGAACGCTTGTTTGGAAATTTGTTTTCCCAGCTCAAGGTGGTGCCGAAATGGGGTGGGAAGATGTCGGGTTTGCCTTCACCACCTCCTCGTTCCTTCTCTTCAGGTGGTGATAAAGCTTGTTTCCAGCAGAAAAACAAACAAAAATAAACCCCAACCAGCACTGCTCTGCTTAATTTACTTCAATTAAATTAATTTATGTCTTGATTTAATGGAAAATAACCGGGCTCTTTCTCTTTTGCCATGGAAAATGAGAAGTTATGGAACATCCACCCCTATTTTGTTTCCTGCTTCCCAGCAGTGTGGGAATAAGGGATACCCCCCTGATGGTCTGAAAGCTGCGGGGCTCATTTATTCATTTGAGGGTTGCTTTTTTAATTATTATTTATTTTTGATGCAGTGGCTTCTTGGGTTGTAGCCCCTGGGGAGATGCCGGGGATGGGGCAGCATCTCTGGTCCCCAGGCTGCATTTCTGCACCTTTCCAATGGATGGTGGTGGGGTTTTTGGCAGGGTTTGGAGTGAAGGCTTCTTAAAAAGGCTTTTTAAAATCATCATTATTATTTATTTTGGTGGTTGTAGAGGCCGGGAGCTCTGGAGATGGGACCAGGGTGGTGAGGAGCACCCAGCAGTGAGACATCCCCCCTGCAAATCTCTCATCCCTGGGAAAACGCCATCGATTTTGGCTGCGGCTCGGTTGGACTTTGGCACGGCAGGTGAACACTGACCTAGCGCAGTTACCGTCAGTAAATACTGCTGTTTACTGGTGTGCAGTGCAGAGCGGGGTCACCTCCCCAAAACCCGGG